GGGTTTAGGGCTGAGGGTTCAGGGGGCTGAGGGTTGTGAAATGGGCTACGGCTGCGGGTTCAGGGCTTAGGTCTAGAGTTTCGGGATGTTGGCTTCACGCAGGATCTGGGGTTCAAAGGGCCACGGAGGGCGTCTAAGCTCCTTGTGGGTTTTGCTGCGCCTGGGCCTTCGAGATATTTTTGGGCTTGATGTGCAGACCCATCTTGGCACATAATCCTGAGCTCTAAAGCCATACATTCCTATGACTACGCTAAGCAACCTGAACTCCAAACCACCCCCCCCCAAAAAAAAAAAAAACGTAGAATGGAACTTCAAGGGCTCAAGCTTCAACCGAAGCCCTGAAGTCCTAAAGTCTCTAGGCCCTACAGAGCTTGCTGAAGAAGGAACTCTATAGGCTGTAGAGTCTTTAGAGCTTTAGGAAGAAGGAACTCAGAGGCCCATTGGGCCGCAGGATAGAAACATCGAAACCCCTTTTAGGGTTTAGGGTTTTTGGGCTTTAGGGTTTTGGGGCTTCAGGGTTTCGGGTTTAGGGGGACCCGGTGCTACGATTCAAGCTGTGTGTCGATGAGTTTCCGAAGCTTAGCTCGGAGCTCCCTTCATCTTAGGGTTTGGGATTCGCGGGACCCTTGGGGATCTGGACCCTCTCAATAAGGTCCCTTTTGAGGGAGCCATGAATGGGGGTAAGAAGGGTCCCCTCTAAGGGGTCTCCCTAATACTACCTAGGACATCTGAGTGCAGGTGTCACTCTGTTGAATTTAGAACTGCGTCGATCAGAGTACACACTCTTAGCATCAGAACCCCACCGAAACCCAAGAATCCTTACACCAGCAAGCAAGCTTCACTGACGCAATCCGGTGTTCGTCAGGCCTCCAGCTTGCGATGCTCCTGCAGATGAGTAGTAGCCTTGCACATCAGCACATCACGAAGGGGCTGGGCCCCTGGGCTTCGGAGCAAAGCTCGCACAGGAGAACATTCCCGTGAAACTCCTTCACCACCAGATCCTAAACCCCAGAATCCATACGAAACACTGATGAGACCTTGTACCAACCTATTGCACTAGTATAGAACCCTGATAGAACTGCAAAACTAACTGCTAAGCCAAACCAGCTCTAAAATTCATAAAACACTACTTTAGACTCACCCCCCTTGTGGCCTCCAGCGGGACGGCCTTTGCCACCTCCCAAGCGTTCGGATCGGGTTCGAAGCTTCCCTGATGTCCACTTAGGAGTCTCAGAAGGTACAGGCCCCTCAAGTGCAACGTGGGAGAATTGAGGCTTTAGGGTCAGTTTATGGAAATCCTGAAGGTTGGGACAACCCTTTGAAGGACCCTGATTTTCAGGAGGGTTAGGGTTAAGGGTTCAGGGTATAGGGCCGTTTAGAGCTTGGGGTTAGATTGTGATCAAGTCAGGCCATCACGTGGCGCAGACTAACAAGATTATATATATATATATATACCCGACGCCCTAATCCTAAACTCTAAACCCTACCAAGTCACCGAAGTGCTAGGCCCTAAACCCTCCACCCGCCTACTTGGAGGATCATGGGACTTAGTAAGTAAGGTTATAAGTCCCCTAAATGGGGTTATATGTATAGTTACCCCATGATCCTTTAAGTAAACCTTATGAAGTCGCCGAAATGCCAGGTTTCCAGGGCCTGGCTGCACCGCCGCTTTCGCCTCCGCAGAAACCTCGGAAGGGCCGGCACCGACCTGCTTTTTCATGGGCGGTTTAGGGTTTAGGGTTTAGGGTTTAGGGGTTTGGGGTTTAGGGTTTAGAGTTTAGGGTTTAGGGTTTGGGATTTAGGGTTCTAGGGTCTGGGGGTCTTAGGGTTTAGGGTGGCTGAGGGTTTACCTAAACCTAGATATTTCGGGGGTCCAGGTAGAGTTTAGAGGGTCTGGGGGCTATAGGGTTTCAAATGGGTTAGGGTTCGGGGTGTAGGGTGTATTTTGGGTTTCGGCTTTATTCGTGGAGTGTAGGGCTTCTATGAGGGTTTGCCATGGAACGGATCATAAGGGTTCTAGAAGGGCTCTATAAACCGTAAACCCTAAACCTAACAGGTCGAGTGCTTAGCAGGGGCAGGCTCAAGGCTTACGGTGAGCCGGTGTCGGGTTTGGGTTCAAGGCTGCGGGTTGACGGTCGAGGTTGAGGGTTGGATGGGGGTTTCTTAATTGTGAAGTGTAGGGATTTCGGCAATCGGGAGTCGGGCTTGGGTAGAGGTATGGAGCGTGAGGTTCGTGGGGCTCGTTCGCTACATGACGCTTTTCGATCACGGCTTCCTCCTCAGAGTGTAGACATTAGCTTGTTTTTCTGGATGCGGAGTTGTTAGTTTCCCCCATCACCAGAACCATAAATCACAAGCAAGAGGAGACAATCGAAGGACAACACAAGTCAACATCCTCGACGGTTAGCAACTGGCTCTGTAGCTTCCTGTGGCAAGTTCAAGATGACTAAACTAAACCCTCGCAGGGACCTGACAAAATAGAGTAGGATTTGGGGCATATGATAGTTTAGTTATGTTTAGTTATAATAGGGAACCCGAAGGAAATATGGATCATCACTGAGGACCCTATATTATTGTGGAGGCTCGACCCAAACGTCACAGCTCGAACCTGCTTCTGGAGCATGCGCAGCGACATGGCGGCGAGTTTGTCTGGGTTTTGCCCCCTAGACCCTAGGTGCTCGATGCCACTTCATGCTTCGGATGAGCTTTGCAGGTACTTGTTATGAAGTTCTTGAATCAACAGCTCAATCGTCCGATCCTGCACTCCACATGTCGGGCGATCATGTCTGAATCATGCCTGGTGAAGCGAAACTAGCAAACATGATGCGGGCGGCTGAAGACAGTGCTCAGCGTCGCGAACCCGAGGCCGGCTAGTTCTAGCTACCAAAAATGATATTATAGTATAGTATATTATATTATACCAAAGCATATCATCTTAGAGTATATTCTACTATATTATTTACAGCATGGTATAGCATATCATTGTACAGAAAAACACGCGGTTCACACTCGCGTCGCTGGCCTCTTCTGCAGGCTCGAAGCTTCCCCAAGTTTAAGTCAAGATGAAGGCAAACGGACGCTGCTCGAGAAGGGGATGGTTTAGGGTAGGGTTTAGGTTTAGGGTTTATAGGGTTTAGGGTATGGGGTTTAGGGCTTGGGGTTTAGGGTTTGGGGTTTAGAGTTTGGGGTTTAGAGTTTCGGGGAATTTGGGGTAGGGAACACTACATATCAGGGAAGCTTCTATTTAGATTTTGCCATAGCTGCACACAAAAGCCGCCTTCCCGAAAAGTCCCAACACCAGCGAAGTGCCCAGGGGACGACCAGCCTCCTACGGTTACACCCAAAAGGGACGATCCAGGATCCGATCCTTCCCGCACAAGGCGCCCGCTGCAAGCACCAACAAGAGGAACCCAAGCATCGAAGGTGCTAGATGTCTATAGCTTGCGCCATGTAACTGTTGCGGCGGTTCCTGAGGGCATCTTTTGCAATCGGAATCTGCATGAAGCCAAACAGTGAAGAATCAAGAAGTCCTGTCAGCTTGCAAGCTCGGCACGGGCTTTTTCGATACCCAGCATGGCTTCTGGGCTCCCGTAGGAGTGAGAAAGCTATACGTCCAAGTAGTGCACATTCAAAACCAAAGAGCTGGCTAAGTAGTTCCCCAACAGGGACCAGGAAGGTGCTATGCAGATGGGTTTAGCAGAATCGGGCTGGGGGCTGATGGGACTAGTGACATAGTGGAGTGTTTAGAGGGTTTTTGGGGGGTTCAGGGCCGCCGCAAGCTGAAATCCGCTTCGACGCTCTAGCCTGCGCCTGCCCAATGTTTCACTTCAGAGTACGCCGGACAAAATGATTCTGCACAGCTGAGCTGTGGGGCTCAGCTGTAGATCACACTCTCTGTGATATGCTGACTTCTCATTCCGCAGCCTGGCACAAGTCAGCCAGGAGTCAGCGGCTGCCAAGCTTCTACCGTTTAGCTTTTCCACCTGCCTGGCTTGCATGGCGTCAGATACTTCTGAGAGTCACAGCCCAACCTCCCCACCACCGGAGACCCCTGCATGCACAAGAGTAGAAACAGATGCAAAGTGGCTTTCACGAGCCAGCAGGTTTCAGGGAATACCCAAATCCCCGAAACCTTTGCTTCGGTTTGCAAGGCAAATCCTACTGGAGGACATCTTAAACCTACCGGCTGGCTCACATACAGCTTGCGGAAGTGACTGCACATGTGTGTGTGTGTGTGCGCGTGTATGTATGTGTGTATGTATGTATGTATGCATGTAGGTATATATGCATGCATCTATGTGACATGTCATATACAGCTATCCGGTAAAGGTAGGTAGATGGATTGATAGATGGATAGATAGATAGATAGATAGATAGATAGACAGAGAGACAGGCAGATAGATTGATAGATAGATAGGTCGATAGATAGATAGATAGATAGATAGATAGATAGACGGGCAGTAGATAGATAGGTAGGTAGATAGATGGGTAAATAGGCAGGTAGGTAGACAGGTAGATAGACAGATAGAGTCCTCTGAAGACTATCGGGCTTTCTATGCAGTGTCAGTACGGCATGATACACGAATACCGAAGCAGGTATTCCCAGTCTGCAAGACGTGTATGTTCAACGTAAATACCTTCTCGCGGAGAGCTGCAATACCTTCTAAAGGCCTTGTACAACCTTCACTTCATGTTTCACCTGAAGCCTCAAGGGTATGCTTAACGGCTAGGGGGAGCATTCAGCGATTTGTGACTTCCGGACAATCAAGGGCCCATAACTGGGCACTTTTCGGGTCTAGGGCCATCTAATTCAGAATCCGCCTTACCAGCATAATTAAGGTACTCCCGATTTAGACAGCCCCCTACGAGGAGGACTACGATGCTCTTGGTCTGACGTCTATTTTGGAAACTCCCAGTCATGTCGACCAAGCCCGCACAACAGGTGCTCACGCGCTTCCACACAATGATTAGAATAGGGTTTTGGGGTATAGTATAGTAAGAACAATAAGACGAACCTGAAGGAACAGCATTAATTATTCAGGCTCCTATACCTGTATTTCATTCTGGGAAATTCCCGGGGACCTGCCTTGATGACTTGATTCACCAAAGCCGCGCCCAGCTGGGCCTTCGTTCTGTCCCACTCCGTGTCCTGCTGGCTCCACGACTCCAAGATGTTTGTATGCCTACAAGACTACACCCCAATCGGGTTCAACAAGTTCTGGTATAAGGGTATGAGATTCGAGGTTCCGAGCTGGAGAACTTGTGTGCTAGAGCTTAGAATTTGTAAGTTGGTTTGTGGAGCTTCTTGCGGTTTTGGTGTTCGTGAAGCCCAGTCTTATTCTCGGTGTATGCGGACCGCATTCTGCGCATGAATCCTAGCAGTTTTCGTAAGTGACGAGGCTGCACAAGCTTTCAAGACCAAACCTCAATACAGACCCCCTTAAACTCTGCAGCTAACTTACCCACGACTCCAGCCCTACGTCTGAGAATCACCGGAACATTCTCGATTAACTTATGTTGCGATGATGGCTTCGCTGATTCATGTCGGAATGCACATGATGACTCACCCCCAGACCCACATGTCCCTGATAATAATCATTCGCATCATCATCTGCATCATCATCATCATCATCATCATCATCATCACATGTGTGGGTATTCATCTGGTGTTGCTATTGGTTGCTAGTGGTTCGTATTCTTTATTACTGCAACAGCTTTCTATCATTATCCATCTTCGTCATCATCTTTCAAGAAACCCTAAACCCTAAACCCTAAACCCCGCGAGACGATTCCTTCGGGGATGCCATGAGCTCGGAGAGGACTTGCGCCGCCCGGTCCTTCTGAAGTCTCGGGCGCCAGTTTCAAGCTTAGGGCTTAGGGCTTCGGATTAAGAGCGTCGTTCCTCCGGTATACCCTAAACCCTAAACCCTAAACCCTAAACCCTAGGTTTAGGATGGTTTAGAACTTAAGGGTGTACAGTGTCGGATTTACAGTCTGAGCAAACTGGTTTCAACACTTCAGCCGGAAAAGAAGGCTGTCGATTTGGGGGTTTTCTGGGTTTAGGTCCATGACGAGGGAGGAGCAGATGTAAGCAGCTTTGACGAAGATGTGGCATGCCATCACAGCAACGGAACCATCGCAAAAGTAAACACAACCAGAATACCACGCCACGACACTGCTGCTGCCTTTGGTGCGCTGCTGCTACTCGAGGTTGTCGAAACACAGATGACAGCATTGAAGATCAAGATAACAAGAACGATAACCACATCTTCATGACGTCAAGTGCAACAGTATCAGTCGGAACCAGCAGCCCCAACTCCGACTTCCTGTCCGTAAAGCTGAAACGGCTGAAACGCCAATGTCAAGCAATTCTAGGCTCCTTGTCGAGGGCCGATGTAGGCACGATCTCGACTCCTGCGACCTGCCAGAGGGTTGGTGCTTTTGTTGTGATATAGATAGGTAAAATACGGTGTATATACTTGCTTATTATAGCACATACAATATGTAATGAATTATAAACACACTAGTGATCGTAACAACGCCCTCAGCTGCCACAGTAAGAACAGTATCAATCAGACGAAGGGGAAACGCACCCGGAAGCAAATAAAAACTGGGACCATCGCTGGAGGAACGGAGGAGGGGGGGGACTGGGAACAGCTTAGGACCAGCATCACCAGCATCATCACCAGCATCACCAGCGTTCAGATGCTGCTTCGGCCGCGCACTGGGTTATCATTCCATGCTTCTGCGATTCTTTGTCGTAGCCGGAAGCTTTGGATTTTCTGGCCTTAAAAAGAAGCCAAGGAGCGAAGCTTGGATGATTCCGATCGACTCATCTCAAGCGGTTTCCGATAAAGAGAAGGCGAGGACATGATAACTTAGATAAGGTGCGAGTAACACTCTGACACTCGAAGGACTCCCAAAACCTAAACCCCAGAACCCGACCCAAGCAGATAGAGACCTGCTTGAAGCCAGACCCAATTTAGGGTTTAGGGTTTAGGGTTTAGGGTTAGACCCAACTAAAACCAAAATCCAGCAACCCAGATACCAGAACCCTCGCTGAGGGATCGGTGTCTCTGATTAGCCTGGCACATGAAGCTACATTATATATTCGCCTCAGCCCGGCCAAAGCGGTCAGAGGTTCCCGCAGAGATTCCCTGTTTCTCCACCTCCTAATCCCCTCCCCAGTGACCCACCCCGCTTAGCCGGCCCCCCCTCCCCCACCCCCCCGCCGCACTTCCCTCGTCTCTTCCTTGCGGCGGGGCTAGTTTACAGCACTCGTGAAGCTGATTCCAAAGCCTGGGAATTCTGAAGCTGTGTCTTGTACTTTGTACTTCGCCGCAAAGCATGATTCCCCTTCCAACATATGGGAGGTTGCATACGAGACCAGTGAGAAGTGTGATACGATTGTTATAGTAGCGTCTATGGGGTAATGCAGGGAATGTGCCATTCACGTGCGATAATTGCTCAGAGACTCAGCATGAAAACCAACACTGACATTCAACAAACATTCTGAAGCAAATGCGCTCGTTCACTCAAGACCTCACCTGTGTGACCTACCTGTTGCATTCCGAAACCATGCATCTGCTTAAGCAAAGCCGGGCAGAGGCGGACGGCGCGAAGCATCTAAACTTATGCATTATAATCACTACCTGTAGTCTCCCTTGTAGTTCCTTTTTTTGGTTTAACCAATTATATATTAAGGAGTTTATAAGGTATCCCCAAAAAGGAACTACAATGGAGACTAAAGGTACGTATTATTCACTAAATGCTTTATATTACATATTACAGACAGAACTACCCAGAATGGCGTAGAAAGTCCCTTCATACGACACACGCCTCGGCAGTGCAGCAACCCGAGGCATCAGTCGGCTGGTTGAAGAAGAGGAAGCCGTCCGAGATGAAGTAGTCCTGTTATATGGGTACCCATAGGCCCCATAGTAGTTCCTTTTTGGGATTACCTTATAGGATTCTAAATATGAACCCCAAACAGGAACTACTATGGGGTGTATGAGTAGTTCTCGTAGTAGGGTTTAATTAGGAGTTGAGGTTGAGCTAAGCACCTTACGGCTACGGGTAGGGTGAAGTTCGAGATCTCTGGGCCTGAGAACCTGGGCTGCCAGGATCGACAGCAGACTGTGAACTTGGCGACGCCGAGACATGGAAGAAAGGGTTTAGGGCTTAGGGTTGATAATGAGACTACTCGAAAACAGCAACGTGAATACTGAATTCGGCGGAGCTTGAAATCGGCAAATGTTCGTGCTCGCTTCTGTTTTTTAGCACCTGTGGTGGCTACCGCGATGGTTTGAGCAAGGTGCCCGGAAAAGATCTTGAGTTGCTCTACGAGCCCATGAATGTTCAAGAATAAACTCTCGTGACTTCCCTGGCCACGGATTTTGCTTGTGGTGAGGAGCGCTTAGGGTTCAGAACTCCTGGGGATACGAGAGCCCTTGTCGCGAGTCCTTTGTCTCGGAGCCATCCCTCACGTTGATCACCCCCGCTTTGAGCTGGGACACGATCAAGGAGTGGTTGTTGGTGACGGTGAAGACGCCCTGCGCTGCACTGCTGGCACCGGAGACGACCACCAACCAGCCCCAGGACAGAACGCCTGATGCACTGACAAGCAGACCAAAAACAAGTGAACGCCACTGACAGGTCGTGCAGCCTTGATCAATGCAGACTGCAGCTCCAACCGGCAACATTCATCATGCACACACACACAGACACTCTCTCTCAATGTATACGTGCATACATACATCCATGTATACGCACAGACACAGATGGTTGTATGAGCTAAGAATAATACGAAGGTTAAGTGACGACCAACTTCCCACCTTTCAGTCGCACACATTCGCATGCGTGCGTTGCCAACGTCTTAGTTTCCAGCCTCCGTTCCCGGCACCGTCACACTATCCACAGGCTTCTTGATGAAGATGGCCTCGTCCAGGCATTTAGGATTTAGGGTTTAGGGTGTACCCTCACACTACACGCTACGGAAGGCCCTCACTACAGACCTGGAGGTCATGAACCTCAAACCATGTGCATGCTGACGTGTCGGACCGAGGACAGAAACTCCATGCCCAAATCCCGGAAACCTAAACCCTAAGCCCTAAACTTGTGGGAATTTCGGCTGTTATCCCAGGATAAGTCTGAATTTTTTCTCTATCCTTTGAAGCGTACAGTAGCCGTTTGCTGGCCACCGCGTGATGATGGACCAAGGACTGTTGAAGATGTAGGGTTGAAGGTGTGCAGTGTTGAGAACGCCCGGCATGAACCTTCTGTTCTGCTGCTGCCCAACTCGGGCGGCAGAAGATCGACGCAAAGCCGTAAGGGCTCCGACGCAATCCACACTGAAGATGACTACGATAATCGGAGAGCATGTGGACAGAATTTTGTCGTTGTAACACTCAGGGTGAAGGCTGCGCGGGGATCAATTGCTTGTGTATTGGATGGTGCTGCCACGTTCATTCGCAGGCGTTTTGCGATTATGGGCCTCCCCGGGGGACGTGAGCGTCAGCAGCAGCCGGTTGGTCACACCTCAGCTGAACCACTTCTCCAGATGGGAGTTTCAGAAAATCAGGGTACCTTATTTTGGGGTCCTTATAATACGGATCCTATTATTTAGGGTGCTATATTAGGGTCCCCTATTTTCGGAAACCTCCAGATCCCTGCAACATAATGTGAACCCACGCACACACAAACATACCGTAGCATGAGCATCAATAAAAGCCATCTCGGCACCAAAAACAGCAGTTGTTGAGGTCAGGAAAAGGGAAGTGCTGGCAATGAACCTCTGCATTCATGTCTGGGCCCAAAATCTCTTATAGCACTGCTCCTGGTAACTACTGTGAAACCTTGAACTACAAACGCCCCAAACTCCTCGATCCTAATATATATATATATGTATATATATATATATATACATATATATATATATATATATACGGTTATACATACACATATACACATACGCACATACATGGTAAACTCATAAGCCAACATGCATGTGCACGTGTGTGTGTGTGTGTTTGTGTTTATGTTTGTGTTTGTGTTTGTGTGTGTGTTTGTGTTTGTGTGTGTATAACGACATGTTTACATACTTATATATACATGCATACATACATACATACATACATACATACATACATACATGCGTACGTACATACATACATACATACATGCATGCATGCCTGCATGCATGCATACATACATATATGTATAGAGATATATGTATATAAAGAGTATAAATATGTATGCAACTTTATGCGTGCACACCAAAGATAAATCAAAGAGTATACAGACTCGTAAATAGAACATGAGTAACACATAACTAACATGTACAATATAGACAAACAAACAGTAAGTACATACATCTACTTCAATGTACACACACAAACATGTGTATGTAGGTATATACAGATATGTGTACTCGTGTGTGGCTGTATACACATATACAAATACATATATATATATATACATACACATGTATGTATGCATGCATGCATGCATGCATGCATGCATGCATGCATGTATGTGTGAGAACCACAATTCAATTATGTTTCCCCCTAGGCCCTCAAAGGCGAAAGATCGAGGTCGCAGCCGGTAGCCTCGCTCGCGAAGCGAAGGAAACGTGCGGTTCGCAGGGCCATGAGGAGCGGACTGCCAGGATTTAAGAGCATAGGGGGTACTATGTAGGGGTCTAATATTTTTGGGATGTGGAGGGTTTAGGGCGGGCTTAGGGTTAAGGGATGTTGAGGGTTTAGGATTACAATTTAAGGGATGCTGAGGGTTTAGGGTCAGGGGTTTAGGATGTAGGATTTGGGAGCGCAGAGGTACATGAGGCATTAATAGTCAGATGGGGGCTTTGGAGTGCATCATACGATACTTGTGTGAGGGAATGTACGGGAATACTGTCAATATTTTTAACCCCGGAACTGCGGGGACGAGCACACTAGCAGTGGCACTGTATGGGGATAAGGGTACTATAGAAGGTGCTGCAAGGATGAAGGTTTGGTTTAGGGATTACGTGTAGAACGTAGGGTTTGAAGGACTTACGAGGGGACATACCTTGTACTTCTACAGACCCCTTATAGAAGCTGCTTGAATTGAAGATGTGGGGTAGCTGGTGGTTTGGGGTCTTCGGGCTCGGCCTGGCAAGAAAGCCAAGTTAAAGGAAACTACAGGTGGGGAGCTTAGGGTACATAGGGCTTCTATAAGGCTTCTATAAGGTGTACAGACCTTCTAGAAGGCTCCTAGAACCGTAACTACCCACCTGAAAATGTCCTAGACCAAGAACCTCGATGTGCAAGGCCTAAACCCTAAACCCCAAACCCTAAACCCTAAACCCTAAACCCTAAACCTAAACCCTAAACCCTAAACCCTAAACCGTCGGGGGTTTGCAACCGAAGGCCTGGAGTCTCATTTGCTCCCCAAACCCCTTGCTGGCACTTCGTCCTTTGTGATGCTTTACGCTTCATCAATCTCGCGTTGGAACTCCTAGTGACATACATATACACTTTCGGAAGTCCAAAATTTCGGGATTTCCGGCTTCAAAAGAACCCGCCGACCCTAAAGCTATTCGCAAACCCTGATAGGGCTTACGGCCTATAGGCCCTGTACTGTACCTCTCTCTGCCATCTGGTTTGGCCTCTAAGCTATAATGAAACGGCCCTTCACAATACCTTTCAGGAACCCTTCCCTAAACCCTAAACCCTAAACCCTCAGCTCTAAACCCTAAACCTCGAAGGTGGCATCTGCCTTGCCTTTGGTACGGAGCTGCTCCGTCGCAGAGCTAAAAAATGTCCCTAAAGCGGAAGGCAGCTGATCCGCGCTTGAGACGCAATGGGCCAGACAAAGCAACATGAGGTGTCTCGGCTGATCCGGGTTCTTGCCGAGATACACATATGCATACCTCTGGGATTTGTTTTCCTGAAGTTCTTGAAAAAGAATGCTGGGGTTTGGGCGGCACCCGGACACAACCACAAAGCTTCATCTTCAGAGAAGCCCTGCATAGACCTGTTCAGTGTCTCTTGAACTTTGGGCCCGAATGCTCAGCCCTTCACTTCAAAACCCAGTGCTCTGGCTATGTAGGCCACATGATCTGTTAAACTTTAGGGTTTATGGTTTAGGGTCTGTTAAACTGTCAAAGGTAGGGTTTAGAAGTTTATTTCATAAACCTGCAAGGCTTCGGAGGGTCTGGTGCAGGAAGATGTCGCTTCAGGGTACAGCGCAGAGATCTGACAGGATCTCTAAACCCTGAATCCTCGACGACGTAAGCAATCGAGGTCGAACCCCTCTGCAGTTTTGCGCAGCATCTTCGGCATGTTCTGAGAAACAGGACCTTGCTACACGTAAGGAGAAAGCGGTATCCACATCCTGGCATCCAAGCTCTCACGTACCCACCGGAGCCGAGAGGGATAATGCAAAAATATAATCTAGTATATGCGGTAATTATTAGCGTATACTGTAAATATAGTATGTAAAAGCATGCTACAGTATATTGTGGTAACTATTATAGTATATTTTAAGTACATCTTGGTATCTTCTAGTATGTTACAGTATATTACAACTTGTAAGATAAATTTTAATTTCTCTCGGCAGGCACAGAGCGTTCACAGGCCCTGTCGGGTTGCACCGCGCACCTTCGATCTCGGGGAGTTGTACACTGGAGCCTTCTGGGCCGGAAGGTTAAAATAGTATGTTGTAGTATATTATAGTATATTATAGTACATCACAAGTATATTGTAGTATATTGTAGTATAGTGTAGTGCGCTAGAGTCAATTATAGTATGTTGTCGTATATTATAAGTTAGGCAGTTGAAGTGTTGACAAAGGTCGGTCTGCAGATGAGCGGGGTGGGGTTTGGGCGCAGTGTTGGTAATCTCGGTGGCTTCTTCCTAAACCCGAAACCCTGAACCCTAAAAACCCTAAACCCTCTAAACCCTCAACCCTCTAAGCCCTATAAACCCTAAACCCTCTAAACCCTATAAGCCTCTAAACCCCCTAAACCCTATAAACCCTAAAGCGAACTCGGAGTCGGAGATTCGAGATCAGGAGATCGGCCCAAACTCCCAAAGTCTTCGAATCCGAAGCTGCTGTCAACAGCAACTTTAGGGGTTCAGGGTTTAGGGTTTTTAGCTGAAGATCGCATGATTCTACTGAAGAAACGGCTTCTTGAACCAAGGTTTTTGGGATGTCCTTGTAGGATCTCAATTCCTACTACTTGGGCTAGGGCTAGGGTACTGCACCATACACAGTCAACTTCACCCAGTAGGTCCGCTGGGCACCACACCCTTTCGAGCATCTCGTTTCGGACCGTGAGGTCGACACCGCCCTTTCCGAGCGGCCGGATGGATGTGTGTAAGGGTACCACAACTTCATATGTGTAAACAAAAAAGGAAGAATAAGTGTATACATCTGCGTCTATACGCAGCATATGCACGTCTGTCGCTCTGTCTGTCTCTGCCTGCCTCCGTTTGCGTCTTTCTGTGTCTGTCTGTCTCTTGCGCTCTCTGTCTGTATGTTCCTTCCGCCTGTCTGTCTCTGTCCGTCTGTCTGTCTCTATCTGTCTCTGTCTGTCTCTCTGTCTGTCTGTCTCTGTCTGTTTGTCTGTCTGTATGTCTGTCTGTCTGTCTGTCCGTCGGTCTGTCTGTCTGTCTGTCTGTCTGTCTGTCTGTCTGTCTGTCTGTCTCTCTCTCTTTCTCTCTCTCCTGGGCATGGGGGACGGTCAAGTCCCCCGGGCATCATGCCCACCCAACTTTTTGTCGGGACCAGGGGAGTGAAAGTCGAGTGTAAATCACCTGAAGGCTATAGCCATAAAGTCTACGATAACGAAAGAAGGTGGCTGTCTGTCTCTCTCTGTCTCTCACTGTCTCTCTCTGTCTCTCTCTCTGTCTCTCTCCTTCTGTCTCTCTCTGTCTGACTCTGTCTCTCTATGTCTCTCTCTGTCTCTTTCTTTCATTGGGCATAGGGGACGTTT